ATATATGTATTCTTTTTTCTACCCACCTGTATAAAATCCACATTTGATCTCAAGTTTATTGGCAATAGGAACTATGACTTCCACTTATGTATGTCTTCAGACTTTAATACAGTCCAGTGCAAACAGTAGGTTCTCAATAAGTGTTTCTTGATTGATCGTTCTTGTTTTTAGGCTTCACATATAGTATACATCTTTGTACACAAAAATCAACATACAAAATTGATGTTAGATCATTTACAATCAAGCAATTATTAAATTCAAGAAATATTTGCATATCTCCAATGTGCGAAAGCATGGTGAAGGCTATAAAGTCAGAATGCAGAAACTTAATATGATGTGTGATAAGCTCTATACCACATAAAATTAGGTGAAAAAGTGAGTTTACAGAAATAAGTATTTACCATTTCAGAGAAGAAAAGTACTAGGGTGGAGTGATAGCCATGATTAGAAATATCAATAGCTTCCAGAAGTAGTAATTATTTGAGATGGGCTTTGAAGAACTGATAGGATTTAAGTGGCTAGAGAAGGGAGAGAGGGTGTTCCAGTGTTAGAGAGCAGGGTGAGAAATTGATGGTAATAAAGATAAGCATGGATGAACATGGAGGATGAAGTTACAGGCACCTGAGCGAACACGGGGTGTGTAATGAAAAGAAGGTCCTGACTGAGTGTTAGTTTCCCATTGAGTAATGATAGAAAATAAACAATAGAGGATCTTTAAAATTCAAGGAATTTAGATCTTGTCACTGAAACAAGAGGGAGTTTTTGAAGGATTTTTGAAAAAAAGTACAGATCAAAATGAAGAGGATTAATTTGGCATGTTGTACAAAAAGAGCAAGGATGGAGCAAAGCTGAGGGCAGGGAAACCCAGTAAAACTTGCTTTCTAGAACTTTCATGCCTCTTTAGCATTGTTTAAGTAACATCTTTTCTTTTAGATAATCTACTATGCATTTAGAATCATTATTTTTTTATTTTTAATGCTTTTTTTAAGATTATGGTATTTTATTCATTAAAAATGTCACTGGTTAAAAAAAAGTCTAAGTAACTAGAAGCTGCATTCTATTCTTCCTGGACTAGAAACAGAGTGGCTTCAGTCTGGTTTATTTCTTTGAATTTTAAGATATTTTTTGTTCTTTCATAATTTTAAGTTTTTGTACTAAACATTAAAATAATGGTTATATAGATGATTTGTATACATCCCAATTTTGAGATTTAGATTGTGTTATTATTATGAATATTTTCATCAGTAAGTCATTGTTATTCTGAATTTTCTTGGTTTACATATTGCTAAATTTTAAGATGATTCTGTTACTATAGAAAAAGACTTCTTTCCCATATGTAAATTGAAAGTCAATGGAAAATATTTCACTAAAATTCAAAGAATGCTTTTATGTACATATGGTGATGTATGATACACATATACTTTGGAACACTGTAAATCTAGTATTCTACTAGGAATATATTAGTATTTCTAACAGAAACTTTACCAACTAGATTAACTTGATCATATACAAATTAGGAGTATTTTAGAAGTTGTTTTCATCTACCAATTTTCCATTTCCTTTAATCATTATTAAGTGAACTACATTTAATTTAGAAAAACAAAGGCATTGTTTTTCTTAATCCCTGTGCTTCAGTTTGTCTTTTCACTCAATGAGGATTTATTGATTATATCCTATGGGAATGGCACTCTTAGGTGCTGGGATACACAGATGACTCCTAATAAGGTCTCCTCAAGGAGCCTGTTTCCAGGGGCTGGGTGTGGGGAACCTTGTAATAAATGAGATGAAATTAAATGAGATGAAACGTTCTAGTTACTCACAGGGCTCCAAACAGGATATGGTTAGAGAGACAATAATAGGGTACAGGGAGGAAAGAAAAGGCTATAGAGGTGATACTCGAAGTGAGTTTTAAAAGATGAGAAAGTTTGGAGATGAGAAGTTTGGGAAGAAATGGAATTCCTGGTAGAGGCAGTGACGTAAGTGTCTTGAATTATCCAGCTGGTATCCCAGCAGTGCTTCTGCCCAGGCTGGCCTCCAGCTATGGATGAAAATGGAAAGGAAGTTTTCGGAATCAAAGAAAAGTTGCTTTTCTTTAATAACTCAGTGCCTGAAAGTGACGATGTTAGCATGTAAATGTGCATTATGAGGAATGTTTTAAGGTATATTGTGAATGAACACCAGATAGTAAATAACACAATTCCTGTATCCTCTTCTCCTTGGGGAGCTTCCAAAGACATAATTTCCCTTTTGCCCTCTCTCACCCAGTTATGCTTCTAATTTATGAACTCTCTATCTTAGACAGGATTTTCTTTCTTTCCATATTCAACTTCAGATGAAACTATTTGAGAACGAGTCCTAACACTGAGTGTTGGTAACAATCTGCAACTAGAGATTTGGACCAAACTCATAATTCATAGATTGAAGAGATATTCCTATATCTGACCCACCTTCAATTTCAATTCCCTGTAATTCCTCCAGTTTCTTACATTTGTAATAAATATTATTTGTCTGCTGTAGTCCAAGTACTTTGTTTTATTCTGGGTACTTCAGTGATATTAATAAAGTGGACAAAGATCCCCGGCCCAGTGGAACTTACATTTTATTAATCATCACAACAGAGCAGAGAAATTGCTTCTTTTCTCACAATTAGACAAAGGATTTATTAAAATTAGGCTGCTACCTAAAGTAGTGATTTTTCTTTTATGGCCCTTGTTGAGACATTGGGGCAAGAAGACATTTTTTATTTCAGGAGGAAAATGACATTTTTTCTTTGTAGCTGGGGATTCTGTAAGGATAGACCAGTATGATATGGTAAATTTTCTCTATCTTGTAAAAAGGTGAAATTTTAAAGGTACTAAAAATACTGTGGTTTCAGAGACGGATAAGTAGGTGAAGGGGAAAATATTTTAAGACAAACTATTTGAAGCTTTTCTTTCCTTGTGCTTCTGTGAGGAGAGAGAAGGCAGCCACCAAATGACTAAATTATAGCATGGGTATACATAGGCAGAATGGAAACATTGTAAGAAAGTAGAAACAACTAAATAGGAGAAAATTCTGTTATGACATAAAAAAATTGGAGTTCCAGGGTTCCCATCAAGAAGGAGAGTAGGGAGATATGTTTTGCTTCCTCGCACAACCAAAAGAGGGATAACAACCAATTAAAAAAAAAATCAGCCAGAATATCAAACTGTATGGAAGTCTGACAACCAAAGAGTTAGAAAAGAAACATTAATCTAGACTGGTAGGAGGAGCAGAGGCAGGAAGTCTGGGCAGAGAGGATAGCGACAAAGTAGTGGCCGATGGACAAGGCGGTCCTACATTTCCGTGTGGATAAACCATAAACTGGAGGAACAGCTGGGGAGCAGGACAGACCACACAACCCAGGGTTCCAGTGCAGGAAAAGAAAGCCTCAGAACCTCTGGGTGTAAAAACCTGTGGCAGTGGGAGAAACTCACAGCCTCACAGGCGAGTCCATTGTATAGACGCACAGGGTCTCAGAATGTACACAAACCCACCCACCCAGGAATCAGCACCTGAAAGGGCACAATCCACTTGTGGGAAGCAAGGGAAGTGATGGAAAGTGGGGCAAGAGCTGAGCAAGTGGCATTGTTCCCTCTCAGACCCCTCCCCCACAGACAGCATCACAACAGAGCGACCTGGGTTGCCCCACCCTGGCAAATACCTAAGGCTCCACCCCTTCCAACATAACAGGCATGCTGAGACAAAGAAATATGGCCCAAATGAAAGAACAGATCAAAACTCCAGAAAAAGAACTAAGCAAGGAGGAGATAGCCAACCTATCAGATGCAGAGTTCACAACACTTGTAATCAGGATGCTCACAGAAACGATTGAGTACAGGCACAAAATATAGGAAGAAGTGAAGGCTATGCAAAGTGAAATAAAGGAAAATACACATGGAACCAACAGTGAAGGGAAGGAAACCGGGACTCAAATCAATGATTTGTAACAGAAGAAAGACATAAACATCCAACCAGAACAGAATGGAGAAACAAGAATTCAAAAATAAACGAGAAGAGGCTGAGGAATCTCTGGGACCACTTTAAATGTTCCAACATCTGAATCATAGTCATGCCAGAAGGAGAAGAGGAAAACCAAGAAATTGAAAACTAATTTGAACAAATAATGAAGGAAAACTTCCCCAATCTGGCAAAGAAATTATACATGCAAGTCCAGGATGCTCAGAGGGTCCCAAAGAAATTGGACCCAAGCAGGAACACACCAAGACACATCATAATTCAATTACCCAAGATTAACGATAAGGAGAGAATCTATAAAGCAGTAAGAGAAAAGGGGAGAGTTACCTACAAAGGAGTTCCCATAAGATTATCAGCTGATTTCTCAAAAGAAACCTTGCAGGCAAGAAGGAGCTGGCAAGACGTATTCAAAGTCATGAAAGGCAAGGACCTCCATCCAAGATGACTCTCTCCAGCAAAGCTATCACTTAGAATGGAAGGGCAGGTAAAGTGCTCCCTTGATAAGGTAAAGTTACAGGAGCTCATCATCACCACGCCTTTATTACATGAAACGTTAAAGGGACTTATCTAAGAAAAAGATGAAAAACTATGAACAGTAAAATGACAACAAGCTTACAACTATCAACAACTGAACCTAAAAAACAAAAACTAAGCAAACAACTACGCTAAAAACAACTAAGCACACATCACATGGAGGGCTATTAGTAGGGAGGGGGAGAATGGGGGGAAAAGGTATAGAGCCTAAGAAGCATGATTGGTAGGCACAAAATAGACAGGGGAGGTTAAGAATAGTATAGGAAATGGAGAAGCCAAAGAACTTACATGCACAACCCATGGACATGAACTAAGGGGGGGATGCTGGAGGGAGAGGGTGTACAGGGCAGAGGGAGATAAAGGGGAGGAAAAAAATGGGAAACCTGTAATAACATAATCAATAAAATATACTTAAAATTTGATTTATTATGAAACAAGAGTGTTTTCTGTTTTATGTTTTGATTTTACAGATGCTGTGCCTACTCCTTCAGAAAAAAACCCATCTCTGCAGACAAATGTGAGTTTAGACAAGAACTCAGACAGTACCATTGCAAAGGCTGTAACAGAAAACCCTTTGCAAATGCCTCCAGAAAAACAGTCAGCTACAAAACGTTTTGAAGAATTGACAACTTTACCAGCATTTTGGTCATCGAGTAAAGAGGAGTCTATGAGCCCAAATTTAGGAATATTCAAGTCAGATTCTACTTTCTGTGACCAGGCCTCTGTGGAGACACTCTATATCTCTCCCTCGTTCCAAACGTTTGGTCCAGTGAAGGAGACTGTCATCAGCAAGGACTCCCAGAAACCAACACAACCCAGCGTCGCTCAGACGGATGATGAAAACCTCAAGACCTTAACAACATGGGGTAAGTCTTCAAAACAAAACAAAACAAACAAAAACTCCACCATGAACCAAACCAAATTCTTCTGATGCATTCTTTGTGTCCTGGTCTCCGCTTCGTGCCCCTCTTGTGTCCCCCGGCATTCCCGTCCAGGGGCATGGAAATGTGCATGCCATCGGGGTGCTTCTCGCCCCCGTGCCCAGCCTTCCACATCCCCTCTGGTTGTTTCCAGAAGTACCCAAGAATTTCTCATTTATTCTCAGGAACAAGTAAATTTCTATTCTTCCAGAAAGAGCAGACAGGGCTGAGGAATGATAGAGTTGTGACTGAGCAGAGAAATTCCGTGGAGCTCCAATGTGTTCTCCATAGCACAGTCAGAACGGCCTGATGGCGCGTACTCTCCACTTAACCAGGACTGCTCCCCGTGTCCCCGAAGACCGACTAGCCCTCTGCGCCCTGCACAGTCTAGCTTCTGCCTCTTCTCAGGCTGCTGTTCTTTCCGTTTGTCAAACAGACCATGTGGCTTCAGCACCTTTGGACTCTTGTCCCCTCCGACTTCTAATTCACCGCTTCCCTAGTTCACTGTCACTCACTCTTTGGGGCCAGCTCAAATGTCACTTCTTCAAGATTCCCTGACCCCTAGATTATTTCCAGTCCCCCAACTGCATGCTCTCCCTGTGCCCTATAATTACCCTTCCCAGCACTTGCTGTCATTCTAATCAAATAGAATTACGTACGCATTAAGTTTTTAATGTCTTTCCCCCAAAGTGGAATGTCACCTTTACGAGGGAGGGGGCCATGCGTGTCCCATTTACTATTATATCCTCATCACCAACTGCAGTGCCTTGCACTTAGGGGGCACTCCCCATTTAATACACAAACCAAAAGCAGCTTAGCAGAGAAGGAATCGAAAATACGTATGAAAAAGTAATAGAAGAAAACACTGGACGATGAAGCCAGGATAGATGATGAGGAGCTATGTATGCTAGGTTAAGTCAGGACCTTATTCTGGAGACAGTGCAAGTTACTAAAGGTTTTGAATCAGGTGAGTGGCTTTGCAAATGTGTTTTAGAAAAATTACTCTGTCAGGGAATGTGGAGGATCAATTTGTGGGGTGGGGGGTGGAACAGGGAGGCGGCACTTCAGAGGCTGCTGTAGGAAAGGAAACCAGGTGAGAGATAGGAGCCAAGATAGGAGCGCAGTGGAGGGAGGTGGAGCATGACCTGAGGGAGGTGGCCCAGAAGGAACCAGCCCAGAAAGGGGGTCGCCGCGTCCTGAGGGCCTGGAAGGAGGGGGGAGAAGGGCTGCCTCTAATGTGAGGGGAGGATTTTGTTGATTTTCGTAATTACGATGTATCCGCTGTCGATGTCATTGGAGTGAGATAACGGCTGGGAGGAGACTGGGGGAGGTTGGGAATAGCCACTCTAGAGAATGGACGAGGGCCCCGAGAGGGCGACGCGCGGCCCCTGGCAGCTGTCCTGAGGTAGGGGTCTTAGGCTTTTCTCCATGGTGCTGAGCCGCCTGGGGAAAGGAATGAAAACAGGTAGATATTTAAATTGGAGTAGGATTAGGACAAGGATTGGCAAACTACAGCTTCTGGGCCAAACCTGGCCCGCTGCCTGTCTTCATAAAGGGAAGTTTATTGGAATACAACCACACTAATTGGTTTACATATTGTCTTTGGCCGCTTTTGTACGACAACAGCCGAGCTGGATAGTCGCAACAGACACTGTGAGTCCCACAAAGCCCAAAATATTTACTCTCTGGGCCCTCGCAGAAGGGCCTGCTGACCCCGGGTTAGGAATCAGCAGCAGGCACGGCAGAAGCGCTGCAGCCGGGGGCAGCGAGAAAGCGGTTAGGTGACAGGTGATGGGGTTCCAAACCGGACAAGAAAGGCGGCCGGGCCGGGCAGGCACTGGTAGCATGTGAGAGAACAAAGGGTCGTTGGACCTGTTGTCTCAATGAGGCAAAAACGTAGATGTATTCAAAGGAATGAGCGCGCTGGAAGTAATCGAGGAGGAAAGGCGTCTCGGCGTACGAGATTTCAGCGGGAGGCGGTTCTGAGTGATGACGTGTTCTAGGGAGTGCCCGGAGCAATGGCTGACGGTCACTGTGGTTGAGGAGTTCAAGAAGTGACGAGGCGAGGATGGATGGCTCGTCTCTGTGGACGCTGGCAGCACTCGGGATGGTGGAGGGTAAAGAAGATGGTACAGTAGCCCCCCTTCTGTGGTTTTGCATCTCAAAGTTTCACTTACCACCGGTCAACTGTGATTCAAAAACAGTCCGTGGGCAATTCCAGAAATAAACAATTTAATAAACAATGACTAAGATTTAAGCTACATGTTGGTCCGAGTGGCATGATGAAATGGCGTGCTACCCCCTTCACCCCGCCCAGGACATTGATCATCCCTCTGTTGAGCTTGTCCACGATGTGCACCTATCTGCCCGTTTGTCACGGAGCAGCCATCCCAGTGGCCAGGTGGACTGTCGTGGTATCTCAGAGCTTGTGTTCATGTCACCCTTACTTTACTCAATAATGGTCCCAAAGCACAAGAGCAGTGATGCTGGCAATTAGCATGTGCCAAAGGGAAGCCAGAAAGCGCTTCTTTGAAATGAAAAGATAAAAGTTCTCAACTTAATAAGGAAAGAGAAGAAATCATAGGCTAAGCTTGCTAAGATCTATTGTAAGAACAAATTGATCTGTGAATTGTGAAGAAGGAAAAAGAATTTTGTGCTAGTTTTGTTGTTGCCCCTGAAACTGCAAAAGTTACAGCTACAGTGGGTGATAACCACTTAGCTAGGAAGGAAAAAGCATTAAATTTGTGGGTGGAAGACATGAGCCGAAAACGTGTTCCGGCTGATACCAACGTGCTGCATCACAAAGCATTGAGCCCATATGGAGACTGCAGCAAGGGGTCCTCTGAAGTGAGTGGCCACATTCACGTAACTTTTACTACATTACATTGTTATAATAGTTTCATTTTATTACTCTTGTTAATTTATTATGATGTCTAATTTATAAATTAAACTTTCTCATAAGTATGTGTGCATAGAAAAAAACAATACAATTGATCCTTGAACATCATGGGTGTTTGGGGCACCAACAGCCACCATAGCAGTTGAAAATCTGAGTATAACTTTTGACTCCCCCAAAACTTAACTACTAGTAACCTACTGTTGACTGGAAGCCTTACTGACAAATAAGCAGTCATTTAACGCATATTTTGTATGTTAAATATAGTATATGAGGTCTGTCCACAAAGTATTCAGCCATGCAATATGAAAAATAGAGACATTTATTGAAGAAGATAAAAGATACAGGAAACAGTGTATATAGGACAATGATACCTCAGTCCCCTTCAAAGTAGGCCCCTTGGGACCTCACAAAATTCTCCCAATCACCCGCCATCAGCTGCCCCATCGTATTTTCCTAAATCTCATCAATAGTCTGAAATCTCTTCCCTTTGAAAGGTAATTTTTAGTTTTGGGAAAAGCCAGATGCCCCAAGGTGCCAAATCTGGGCAGTAGTGGGGCTGAGTCACCTGGGTGATTTGACGTTTCACCAAAAAACTCTGCACAAGACGCGATGCATAAGGAGGCATGTTGTCATGATGAAGCTGCCAATCACCAGTTGCCCATAGCTGTGGCCTTCTGAATCATCCAAATGGTTTCCGCAGAGGAATGTTCAAGCTTAATGCAAAATTTGATGCAGATTCGTTGCTCTACTCGCTCAATCATTTTGAATGCAAGGGCCACACAGTACACATGCTCCCTCAACAGTGCGGAGGCTGGGGACATAGATGACCACCCCCACTGACTGGTACAGTGAAGTCATCATTGTTCATACTTGCACATTCCAGTCCACTCTCCTTGGCTGCCAGGTTACATCTATGTCGCGCAAACCATTCTTGTTATATTGACAATGGCTGGACTTCTTCCGACAGACCTCGTTATTCTTACAATAAAATGAGCTAGAGAAAAGAAAACATTATTAAGAAGATCAAAAGGAAGATAAATTACATTTATAGTATTTATTGAAAAAAATTGAATATAAGTAGATCTGTGCAGATCAAGAGTCAACTATAAATATAGGTCTTGGAACATATCCCTGGAGGAGAAGGGGGACCACTAAATCTATCTCCTGGCTTTCAGAAGTATCTGTTTATAGGAAGTGTCTTTTGAGATAATGAGCTGGGCAATATAATAAACGCTCATATTTTAGCAGATCTTAAATATCAGGGAGGCTGGCTAAGGCAGCCCCCCAGTACACCTTAATATTTTTACTGAACAAGAGGGATGGATTTGCTACAGCAACCTTTTGCCCTGTTAATATTAAATCGTTCTGTTCTTAGAACAGCCCATTCCTTCTGCTCTGTTTGAATTCTGTTGTTTATCTGTAGTCAAAGTATTCTTTTAGGTCATCAGATATTTTATCACACACACTAAAAAGGAAAAAAGAGCTAGTAGATCCTTAGATGTCAGATCTGGTGGCAGGCAGCTGTCCTGATACGCTCATAAGCCCCAGTCAGTGTGTTAGGACACTCTAGACTGTATTTTCTCATTTTTTTGGAGGAAAAAAAAAACCCAGGAAAACCTCTGTACTTTCTCATGTTGGGATAGTGGTAAGATTCTCTTTGTCTTCTTCCTTTGTTTCTGTTTCTCATTGGTTCCTTTTCTATTTTTTTACTCTGGTTTTCAGTAGTTATTCTATATTTTTTGGTTCATCTTTGCTAAGAAAAGAAACCAAACACCACACACACATGCACGCACACGTAGGACCCAGTAACCGTGCCCTTTTCCTTTTTATCTATAAGAAGATCCAGAGCTAGAAAAATGAACAATTTCCTAAAAGAAATGAGGAAACTAATATAAAATATCCCTGCAAACTATCTTGGCTAACCCTGAGCCACTGGTGGGGCTGGCTCAGAAACGCCGTGTTGGAGGGCAGCTTACCGCACCCGGAAGCCACAGCCAAGCTGCCGCCTGTCCCCGGCAGCCCCGGCACCTCCTCCAGCCGCCCGTCT